GTGCAGCCCCCAGCGGCAGGCGGGAGCAGCCCAGGGTCACCGGAGCCACCCGTGGCACTACCTGCCGAGGAGCTGGCCTTGGATGTCTAACCGTGCTTTACTGCCTGCTTGCACCTTGTTTTTACCTTTCCCGCTGCGGATCCCGGCACGCAAGCACCCGCAGCCCTGCAGGAATGGGATCTCTCTGCTGGCTGCTTCTGCCACTGCTGGCCTCGCTGACCACGGTCATCAAAGCCAAGGTGTTCAGCCGGTGCAAGCTGGCTCACCTGCTCCAGGAAGAGGGGCTGGATGGCTCTGGGGGCTACAGCCTCACCAACTGTGAGTTTCAGTCCCCTGTCTGCCCACAGCCTTTCCTTCCTGGCTGCCGCCATCCCTGTGGATGGCAGCCGTGGCACGGCCTCTGTGCCTTCTGCCCCTGCCCAGGGCTCTGCATGGCCTTTTACGAGAGCACCGTCAACACTGCAGCACAGAGCATCAACGCAGACGGCAGCACTGACTATGGCATCTTCCAGATCAGCAGCCAGCTGCAGTGCTCCGACAACCGCAGCCCCTCGGATAACTGCTGCAGGATGGCTTGCAGGGGTACCACGGCACTGCTCCGCTGGGGCCAGCCCCAGGAGCGGAGGCAACAGCCCAAAACCTCCTGCTCTGCCCAACTTCACCCTGTGGCCAAAATGGAACCACAAGGGCGTGTGAGGCCAGCCTGGGCAACTCAATGCCTGTGGCTGCAGGAAGCTGGGGGTGATGAACGGCCGGGTCTAGATCCCCTTTTGGTCTGCGCAGGGTGTGGGTAGCCCCACTGACTCCTGAGGCTGGGGAGTGAGAGGCCATGGCCATTACCAGAGGTCTTTTTCCCAGGCACTGCAGTATTGGTGCCCCAAAGCCATCCCCAGAGTTTCATCTTGCATCTCTGGGCCAGCTCCCTTCCCTTGCCCTGCATCCATCCTTTCCTCTTCTGGGATACTAGGGACCCCAGGGCTCTCTGGGTGTTTCGGCTGTGGGTGGAAGATAGGCAGTCCTGATTTGGGTGGGTTGTGATGTGGGGCTGAATGAGACAAATGCATCCCCCTGGTTGTGGAGTGAGTAGCTGGGAAAACGATCACCCAAGGCTGTACTACTGTCAGGCAGATCCAGGTCTCGGCTCGGGGTCTATCACCAGAGGGGAGCTCCTAGGTGGACATGGGAAGGGCTTTGCTGTGTCTGACCAGTAGACATCCTGCTATATGAGAAAACCCAAGGTCTGGGAGGCTGGGGTTGGACCTCCCGTTCCTGTTCAGTCCAAAACCTCCTTTTCCAGGTAGGCAGAAAAGCTCCCTAATGGCTTTTTTACCCAGCAGAGCAAGCAGGAAGGGATTGAAATATCATAAGCATAGATGGGTCTGCCTCCCATTCCCCCCCGCTTCCAGCTCTCTCTCACATGTGATTACAGAGGCAGGCACACCGGCATTTGTGAAGGAAAACACATTTATGGCTGTT